TTACACAAAGAGTTTGCTAATAAAAGGAAGGGGTGTGCTGCATGCAGTAAACCGAGCTCAAGTAAGTTTTCCCAAAATACCCATACATGTTTATGTTATACTTTGATTTGTGAATCCGGGAATCGCATGCTAGATTAGGGCTAAGGATTTGCTAAGGATTGCATGATAGAATTCTAAGAGAGATGATTGTGTATACCTATTGTATGAGCTTGTAGATTTGCATGCTAGTATTGATAAGTCAGTGATAGGATGGCCTGTTTAGGTTATGCTTGATTCCGATTACTCAATGCTTGAATGCTGCTTGCTTTGTGCTTTTTAGGAGTTCTCATTAACTTCAACTAACTAGTAAGTGAATATGCTAAGTTACATATTACCGAGACTAAATAATTTTAGAAGGTTAGGTTTTAACTCTATTGCGCAGCTCTTGTTTGAGTCCAACCGTTGTAGTGTGAGACCTTTCATTCGAAGAATTATCTAGTGTCGGTGATATGTAATTGTATTCGTGAGCTAGTTAGAGGGTGTTAGAGTGAGTTCCTTCTACAACTGATGGTGGAGAGTGGTGTGGTGACTTGGGGGATTCTGGGACCATTATCTTGTTGAGGGTTGTGTGTATAGATAAGGGAGTGACTTGGAGGATTCTGGACGATTTGAGGAAAGTACGGATAGATGTGGTAGGTAGTATGGGACCGTAATACAGGAAGCAGAGGATCCATACTCAAGTCAAGGAAAACTACGATGATACCAGGAAGCTTGTAGAGTATGGGATCCCTCAATGTTTATATATGTATGTACTGATGGTTTGTGTGCTCTATTTTCATTATGGTGGCCACACAAGGAGGTTATGACAGTGGTTCTGGTTCAGGCTCTGGGGCCGGACAGTTGGATGAGCAGATGCGGGAGTTCATTTCGCCTGAGATCACCCGCAGCATACTTGATCAGACTCATGTGCTCTTTGGTACGGTCAAGGAGGGTATCTTGGAGATTTCGGATGAGCGTTTGGGCGTTTTTCGTTCTGAGATGGTGGCATTGATGAGAGCTCTCACGTTGACTTTCAAGGAGTTCCGGGCATGTGGGGCTCCGGAGTTCTTCAGGGAGAAGAACCCGATCGTGAGTAGACGTTTGTTAGCGGATGTCGCTAATGCCTTCCGCACTAGCAATTGTCTGGATGGGGCAAAGGTTAGACTTGCTTCCTGTCTTCTGAAATACAGAGCTCGAGATTGGTGGGAAGAGGTTGGACGTGACGTAGGGGACGAGGCGGTTGATTCGATGAGATGGGATGACTTCGTGACGAGATTTCGAGCTTAGTTTGCATCGGTGATTGAGGTACAGCAGTTGGCGAGGGAGTTTCAGGACCTTCGCCAGACTACTGAGATGGTGGCTGATATCACCACTATGTTCCGCGAGAGGGCCTTACTGGTTCCATAGTATGTGGTGGATGAGGAGATGAAGAATGCGAGATACCATGAGATGTCGAGGAGTGATATCCAACAGTTTGTGAGCCGATCCAGTTCAGGTTCAGGGATTTCGCGCAAGAGGCCCAAGGTTTTTTACTCGAGATGGAGAGGCCGGCAGGGTCGGGCCGTTGTGAAAAGTGCGGCAAGACGCACGATGGGGCGTGCAGGGTGGGTGGTATGCCGAGCATACGCTAATCAGTGGGCCAATGGAGTTTGTGGGCTTGGATCGTTTGGGCTTTGTATTGATTGGGCTTGGACCTTTAACTTCTATGGCATTAGGTCATTTTGGACTTTGGGCTATTGTTTGACATTGGGCCTTCTTGGATTCGGCCCATAATGGGTTTTGGGTGCCATTTAGGATTTTGGGCTATATTAGGCTTTTAGAGCTTTTAGGTTGGGCTTTGGTTATTAGGCCAAGAGAGGAAAGGGTAAATGGTCTTTTTACCCTGGAAGTTGGACAATTGAATGAGACTCATAGTTTTGGTTTATGGCCTAACTTATTAATTGGGTTTTATTTGATTGGTTAGCGCGGGAATTTTCCGAATCAGTAGTCCAAGCTTTTATCTGAGATATTCTGCTGCTTGAGATGAGTTTCCTCTTTGTACTTGGCGGGTCGAAGGCACTAACGTCGGCCCATGATTTGTTATGGATAGGATGCTAGTTGTCTATGTGACTCTTGCATGTGTTGTATGTGATATGTATACCGGGCGGGGCCCAATGCCAGACGGGGTCTGATGAATGTATGATATGCTATTTGTCTTAGTGATTATTACATGTGTTTATGTGTCTATATGTATACCGGACGGGTCCCGATGTCAAGCGGTGCCTGATGGATGTGATGAGGCGGGGCCCATCTCATGATATTGACAGATCTATTCTGAACGGGGCTCGATGGCGGGCGGGGCCCGATGGGCGTTGGTCAATGGCCCATTGTATGTTTGATATGTATGGTATGTGGTGTTTTGGGGAACTCACTAAGCTTCGTGCTTATGGTTTTCAGTTTATGTTTCAGGTGCTTCCGGATCAAAAGGTAAGAGCTCAGGGTGATCGCATCGCACACACCATATTATTCCACATTTTATTTGAATCTGATGTGTTTGGATGTTTTGTTCATACTATGACCTTTATGGTTTTATGAAAACGTTTTGAATGATGGTTTTATTATTTTAAAAATTGAATTTTTTAGTCTTAAATTTTGGGACGTTACACTTTCACATAAATCCAACATACTATGAACTATCAAACTACAAAACCTAATGAAATCTGAATTCATTAGGATGGTTTACATACCTTTTGATTTGTTATTGCAAACAAATCTATAACCTTCTTCAAAACATTTTGGAAGCTAGCACCACAAGTGTCGTGTCTCAGATGTTTCACACCCAACTCTAATAACTAGGATATTGGAAGAGAAATAGGAGAGGTGGTAAATTTTTGGCCCTTGGCTCTCAAGTATGAGGTGGCCGAAAATTTGATGTTATAGGCCCCTTTATATATTCAAATTTTAACGAAACTATCTTAAGATTCATGCAACAAACAAATCATATACATACAAAAAAAACATATATACATAGTCAAGCTCATCCTATATTTGGTTTTTATCAGCCAACATAAATATTGATTATGTGAGGGAAAAAAAATTCGCTTGGATCTTCATAAGCTTCCAATCGTGATCTTCTTGTTTTAATTTTTTTTTTTTAAAGACAAATATCAAATCAATATACATTTAAAAAAAGACTAAGAATTTAAATTACATTAACACCAAATAGACCTGCACAAAAAGACCGGCTCGGACCGGACCGAAAAAATACCGAGACCGAACCGGTCTATAACAAGACCGGACCGGGAAAAGACCGGTCTTAAAAAAGACTAGACCGAAAAAAAAACCGGCTCGAGACCGATTTGAAAAAGACCGGACCGGTCCGAGAGTGAACGAGACCGGTTTGAAAAAAAAGACCGGTAAGTAAACTATATAAATATATCATTTTTTTTTGTTAATTATACAATTTTTAATCACAAATTATCTAACTTATTTTATTGTTTCTTTTATTAAACTTAAATTATCATATTTAATAAATATTAATTTATCATTTTGGTGCTAATCACATATTTGTTAATGGAAAAAAACTCCAAACCAAAACAAAAGAATCAAAAAATACCAAAACCGGGGCATATCTAACAAGTAAGAAGGTAGGTCCCAGGACCTACCTAAATTTTGAATTTTATTTATAATATATGTACCATAATAATTAGGAATTACCTTAGAAAAATAGAGGATCTACCTTGAGTTTGTTTTTAACTTTTTTTTAAACCATTTTAAAAGGAGAAAAAAATAAGTTACATGGGGCATTTGTGCTGTTAAATATATAGGGTTAAATATAATATATAGTTTTTATCAAACAATAAGGTATCAATGCGCTAATAATCAACTAGTTTTTCATTAAATCGTTCGGTTTTTTCAATTATATTTCAGTCGGTTTTTTTAAATTTTAATTGGTGGTGTCTGATTGGTTTTTTGAGTTATATTTCATTAAATCGTACACGACCCGACCCGACCCGACCCCTCACAAATGTTGTTGGTTTTTTTTATTCAGCTTCACTTAATTTGGGAACCACGTGATATTTTGTTCTAGATTCGCCACTGACCAAAACCAAACCAAAAAAACTCGTAAATCGAATCGAAAAAGACGTACGGAAAGACCGTGAAACCTGACCGAAAAAAGACCGGTTTGAATGAAGACCGGTCTGAGAAAAGACCATACCGAAAGACCGAAAAAGACTGACGGGGACTGGTCCAGAAAAAGACAGGACCGGTCCGGAAAAAGGCCGAACCGTTCGGAAACCAACCTCAAAAAGACCGGACCGTTTCGAGACCGACCCAAAACTGGTCTTGGACCACCAATGTGCAGCTCTACAACCAAACACAACCATATGTCCAAGGAATAAAAAAGGCTATACACAAACAACAATTTATTTTTTTCTCAACTCTCATCTTATATTAATGGACTATGAGGATGGAGTTTTGGATAAGGACATATGTCCCAGAGGAATATATGTTAGATTAAGTCCAAGGTACTCATATTTGTAGGAATAAACTATAAAACATTCTCTCTCCATATGCTTTTGACGTCCCTTACGTTGCACAAAATCTCAATCTATTCCACAATTCCATACTCCCTCGGATGTTGAAAAGTTACATATTTTAGATATGAATTTTGTTCTCGGGGAAGATTAAAGTTGCAAATGCATTTTGATTGGGAAATGATGCTTCTATTTTGATGATAACTTAATTGAACATTAAAAATGATTAACTGCTAACTACATATTATTACTATGAGAACTAAGTATTTACTATTAACTAGTAAAGTGGCCCCCACGTTGTGGGGGTTAGATTGCTTTTTATATAATTGTTAAAACATCGCAATGTACTTTTTTTATTTGTGTATTATAATATGCTATGAAAAAGGTCTCAAAACTGGTCCTTGTGACAGAAAAACAAAAAGATTACCAAGTCTTTCTCCATAGTATAAAAACATTATAGAAATGGTCCATATTGTAGAAAAAAGTTTACGTAATTTGTCCATATATAGAAAAACATTACAAAATCAGAATTGTAAGTTTACTTATTTTACAATTAAGGCATTATACCTCAAAAGGAACATTAAAATGGCCTCACTAAAAAAAGCGTACCTCCACCTAAATTCTTCTCCAACCTAAACACAAAAATAAATAAATAAAAGTCATTAGTTTCGTACCCATCCACAATAAACATAACCTAGGTGACTCCTGTTGGTATGCACATATAAAAGATTCCCAACTAAGTTGGTCTCCGTAAAAGAAAAAGTAAATATGCTATTTGAATACAGGGGTATTTCTGTCATATGTACAAATAACGGGTGATAAGCCTTGTCCATAACCTCGATTTTAAACTCTTGTAAGCCTTGTCCAGAATGCCTTCACAAACCTCTTCACTCTAGTACAGTTTTAGTATTTATCACAGATGATACATTACTTTTATCAAAAAAAAAAATCACAATCTACGATGAAAGAATGATTGAGCATTGTTTTATTAAACTAATCATGCCAAATCTCAAGCAAAATTTTAGAACTTAAAGATGTATCTGTTGTTATTATTAAGCTGCATAACAATTAGTATAAGTTCAACAAACTTACTTTTGACAGCCAGAACCCATGAAACAACAACCAATCTAGTGGTAGCAAACGCATGTGCAGCAGCAAAGTAAACACCCTCTGTTGACCAGAATGTGGGCATTGACAACAGTCAGCACTTGATAACAAACCTTTGATTTGATTTCTTGAAACGATCCAGGACACCCACATCCATTTTCTTTTTCCTATAAAAAAAATATACCAATATCCATTCTGTTCGGAAATATTCTGAAGGATTCCGAAGACAACATCCAATGAAAAATAGTACAGAAAATTGAACACAAGAACATAAAGTATATATACCTGCAATTGATCCGAAAAATCCTTGTTGTTAAATACCGATGTTACACCCCAATGAACAACATCATCAGGAACTGGCAAAGGCAAATTAAAAAAAAAAATTGTACATTATGTTGGCAATTGCAACTCAATTCTTGGAACTCCATTCTTGAGTTAAAAAATTTAAGGATTACCTAAATAGAGGCGTAATCCATCATCCTACCGAGTTTGATATGTTGGGTAAATTAGGGTTTGTAGTGGAGATCTGGATACCGAATTGGATCGTGATATCACTTTCCGAACTTATATTTCTACCCTATGTCTGGGTTACAAGAAATTCAGCCTAGGATAATCCAAGTGGATACTTACGATTCTAGGAACAGAAATCGTAAGCCAATATGCTAGAGGATTCTGTGAAAGTATGATCAAACAAGAGCTTAAGATCGTAACCCTCTTCTGAAAAGAAGAGTCGTTTATATAATAAACGATATTAGGGTTTTATTAGGTTGGGTCGTCCTTAGTTTCTTTGAAAGCAAGTAATGTTAATCCGGATTTAATGAGGATTTAGGGTTACCAAAACTAACGAGTTTCGTTAGTTTTAGCATAAACACTCTCAAGAAATTGAATTTTCCACTATGGTCTCATATGTAAAATTCGGTGAGGTTTTGGGGTGCTGCCCCTCGACCCTGCCCGCTGACCTGGCAGCGGGACCCCAGCCAGGGGCTCTGCCCCTTGGACCCCGCTAGGGGCGCTGCCCTCGGACCCCCGACTAGTCGTCGAACCGGCTTATAATTCGATCTTATACATGCGTGCACTCCGCACAACCCCGTACATATAATAGAGTACAAATTATGAAGCCCCTTAGCTCTCCCATGTTAGTCCAGTCATTAAAATGACTCACCAACATGATAAAGAAATAGGAGATTCTGCTTTCAGGAATCCTTAAAAAACAAAACCGCTGACAATCGATTCCTCAAAAAAGACAGTACAAAAAACCCAAAAATGAAAATTAGGTGATACATAATTACTCCCAAAATTGTCAATTGTAAAACAAATCAACATCTCAGTAATCCCGTAAACCTGATCTACGCACCTTTTTTTTTACGAATCCAGGGATGTGACCTACTGAGAAAACGATAAAGCAAGAAGGGGGCAAAAATTGACGGTGCAAAACGGACCTGAAGTTGATCAATTGAGGGTTCCATGATCTCTATCTCCAAGTAGAAAGTTTATAGATGTTTTCTTGAAGTATTGAAGCCGCCGATATCACTTCCTTATCCAGCAGACACCACCGTTGCTGCAGGTGGCAGCAGTCCCGCTGCCTTTCTTCTCTTCCAACTAACTATGCCCCAGTTCCTAGAAATCTTTCCTTACAAAAGTAATACGTCGAGCCCTAACCTCTAACTTGTGGTTTTCCGGGTGACAGCTAAAGATGAAGGCGACATTGGATTTAATAAAGAAGAAGACAAGTGGGAGAGAAGAGACATTTGTTTGTGAGAAGGAATGGGAGGTTTATAGAAAGGATACAGGGAGAGGTTTGGAGAAAGAATAAAAGCGGTGATAGTCAGTGGAAAAACATAGGAATATAACACGTGTTTTGGACACGTATCAACTCATTGAACATGGAAAAGGAAAACGAAGATGGTGGATCTGCTAATGACGGCACGTGTAAAGGGACGTAGGGTTAAGGGGATAACGGAAAAGAAAAAAAATTATAGGAGTGGTTCAATACGATTAATTTACTGTTCCGAAGGGAACAAGAAATTAATCTGTATATTAATGATTTCGGTCAAAACTCAATTGTTCCCTGTAGATTACTTTTAAGTAAAAAGAGAAAATGACTTAAAAAAATAATGAAGTTTCAGAAATGTATAAAAAAATCATTATTTTTTTTAGTACACAAAATACCATTAAAATATATTTTTTATACACAAAATACCAACGAAATACACATGTGTTCAAATAAAACCTTGTGGGTAACCGGTTACCGCAGGTAACGGAAAAATGTCTTAAAAATGTAACAAAGTTTTAAAAAATGTTCAAAAAATACCATTATTTTTTTAGTATAAAAAATACCATTGAAATTTCCAAAATGTTCAAAAAAAATCATTTTTGTTTTTTCAGAGCATCTTTTGTTAACTTCGTTGTTTCCGGATTATATAGAACATAGTCATCGGAGATTAGTCACCATCGTACCAGTTCAACACCAGTTGTGTACACTCTTTCATTTCATCACTCAATCAGTTTGTATCTAAATCCATATTTAGGAATTCTCATGACATAACATCACACTCGTTTCTCCTTTGTGTCTCTCTTGTGTCGCAACACTAATGAACGGCTAACATTGATGTATAATATGTGCATTTATATAACATATATATGTTTAGATTTGAGACATATAATATGATCGGGAAGCAAGAATGTTTAACTAATGTTATTACCCACTTACTTCTCGTGTTACCACAAGAACGATCGAGTGAATGAATGAAAAAGATTTACACAATTGTTGTGAACTGATACGACGGTTCATGATCTCCGGTGATTGTGTTTTACATAATCCGACAACACAATTAACAAAAAGTGTGGTATTTTTTAAACATTTTGGAAATTTTGTTACACTTTTAAATCATTTTTCCATTTACCTGAAGTACATGGTTACCACAATGTTTTAGTTGAACACATGTGTACTTCGTTGGTATTCTGTGTACAAATAGTAACATTAATTGCATTTTTTATACTAAAAAACAACAATGACATTTTTTGAATATTTAGAAACCGGATAACTTACAATAGCCGGTAAAATGGTATTTTATGTACTAAAAAAAAACAATTGTCTTTTTTGTATATTTTTGAAAGTTCATTACCTTTTCAAGTCATTTTCCCAAGCAAAAATGATTTGGAGACATACACATGTAAAATATATTCTGAACAAACCGATAAAGCAGTAAACAAACATAAACAAATGGTAGTTTAAAAGCTCCCTAACCAAGCAATAAATATTATCAGTTTTAATAAAATGACCACAAACAGACACCTAAATAGGAAAATGTAGGATAATACATAACAATCAATCTTCGGCTACAAACATCCCCATAGCAAAAATGGACTATGTGATAGTTTGTTAACAACTCCACAATGATCCATTTCTGTCTTTCTTACTTCACATGAAACATAACACGAAAAATAGATAAAGAATATAATAACAAAAACAAAAACAAAAACAAACTCGATCATCAAAAGCAACAAAATAATACTTAGAAACATTTCCTGTGAACGATAGATGGACCCGACTCGTCATATTCTCCCTTGGAGATCCACATCTGATTCACACAAAATAAAAAGTTAGTAATATAGTATTTTTTTTTAAGTAAATAAATAAGGTAAATTGTTGTTATTGGTAACTAAAGTAAATTTACCTGTTGGAAGGTACTGAGAGATGCAAGGATTGATCCTCCGATCCAGACACTGTATTTCCTCTCCGGGGGTGCAACCACCTTAATCTTCATGCTACTAGGAGCAAGGGCAGTGATTTCCTTGCTCATCCGGTCAGCAATGCCCGGGAACATGGTTGACCCACCACTAAGCACAATATTTCCATAAAGATCCTTCCTGATATCAACATCACACTTCATGATCGAGTTGTATGTAGTCTCATGAATACCAGCAGCTTCCATTCCGATCAAAGATGGCTGGAAGAGAACCTCCGGGCAGCGGAATCTCTCTGCCCCAATAGTGATAACCTGCCCGTCGGGCAACTCATAGTTCTTTTCAACGGAGGAGCTACTTTTAGCGGTTTCGAGTTCTTGCTCGTAGTCAAGAGCCACGTATGCGAGCTTTTCCTTCATGTCACGGACAATTTCCCGTTCGGCGGTGGTGGTGAACATGTAACCTCTTTCGGTCAAGATCTTCATTAGGGAATCTGTGAGGTCACGGCCTGCAAGATCAAGACGGAGGATCGCGTGGGGAAGCGCGTAACCTTCGTAAATTGGGACAGTGTGGGACACACCGTCTCCGGAATCCAACACGATACCTGTAAGAAAATAGTATTGTTAAGATCCATGTTCATGCAAATAAAAGAAGTCCAAGGCTTTGGTTTCAAAGTACCATAATCAAATACAGTTCAAGCATTCAACTGTTTTAGGAAAGTGTGACTTTAACTAGTGGAGAGTATACAAACAAATCGAGATGATGAACAAATGAAATGGATTGGGTAATGAAATGGGTAAAGATTTGTACACGACAATTTATGTTTTATGTATTGTACAGCTAAAAAGTATTGAATACAAATCACTCCCCTCAATTATTCATCGCATTCCATTATCCATGATTTGTTTTTGGTTAGCATGTACATGAATTTTTATATTATAAGTAAACACAATATATAACTTTTAACTTTACTACATTATTTAATTATTATTAATAATAATATTTGTATTTGAAAAAAAATATATTTTAAACATAATAAATGTTCTTTTAAACCCAAACAAGGTAATACTATATCTATATTTTCTAGTCAATTTAAGAAAATTAAATTATAATTTACTTAAAATCAAGAAATTTATTCATTAAAGATTACACAAAGAAAAATGAGCTATATTGTTATTTTTCATTCCATTCCATGATGAGATAAAAACCTTTAAAAAAAGAAAGTTCACAAAGTAACTAAAACTAACAAAAATTGAAGGGATCACATTCATTTAGAAAATGGTATATTCCATTCCATCAAAAAATACAAAGAGCTTTTTTCATTCGGTTCCATTCAGTGTAAAATCTTAATTCTTACATTCGGCGGATTTTTAATTTTTCTCTTAGGAAGCCCATTGTTTTTTCTCTGATTTTCAGGATGTTAGGAATCTTTCAGGCCATTTTCCAAAAATCAAAAAGCAAGCAATGCAACTTATAATAGAAATCCAGAAGAGCAATGTAAGTTACAGTTGAAAACCAAAAGAGTAATGGGAGACTAACCAGTTGTACGACCACTTGCATACAAAGAAAGCACAGCCTGGATAGCAACATACATGGCTGGAACATTGAAGGTCTCAAACATAATTTGTGTCATCTTTTCTCTGTTTGCCTTAGGATTAAGGGGTGCCTCGGTAAGGAGCACAGGGTGCTCTTCAGGAGCAACACGAAGTTCATTATAGAAAGTGTGATGCCAGATCTTTTCCATGTCATCCCAGTTGCTGACAATACCATGCTCAATTGGGTATTTCAAAGTCAAGATACCTCTTTTCGATTGGGCTTCATCTCCCACATAGGCATCCTTCTGGCCCATGCCAACCATAACACCGGTGTGTCGTGGCCTACCCACAATACTAGGAAAGACTGCCCTAGGAGCATCATCACCAGCAAACCCCGCCTGTAAATTTAATCAAAGAACAAAAAACAACTCCAACTTGAGTATCATTGTATGTAAATTAAGGAACAAAATGGTCTTTTAGACAAAATATGCAACCACATTTCATTCTATGACCACAATATACAACATGATAACCGCATAAATGCTTATTTACTTATAAAAGTTACAAGTAAAATATTGCATACTATAGTAATAGAATGAAATATATTGCATATTTTATCTAAAACATCTAATAGAATGAAACATATTAAAATGCCTATTAATTTAAAAATGTCCCCCTCTTTTACCGGTTCATGCAATTGACATGAACTACGCAGCCACAATTGTATTGGTTAAACAGGTGAGTAGGTGACTAGTAAAATGTTGCATATTTTGGTAATAGAAAGATCATGGTTGCATATGTCGTCTAAAAAAAGAATAAGAGTATTAAACATGGTTAAATACTTAAATGCTTATTTATCTAAAAATGTTTCACTTTTTTACAAATTTATGGAACAGTGTTTCACTCTTTTACCAATTGATGCAATAATGTTTCATATTGTCACCAATCGATGCAATAATGTTTCCCATTGTGACCAATTGATGCAACACTTACAACTTATGCAACCACATTTAAACAGGTTTTCATAAAAAAATGCATATATTGATTGTAGTATAAAAATAGCTGCATATTTCCTCTAAAATATTAATTTGTTGCATAATGGAGAAAAATATGATAAGTCATTGCATAAACAGGCATCCGCCTTTTTTTAACATTCAAAAGTGCAAGAATACAAGTAAATCAATAAAGTTCAAAACTTCAAATAACTAAGACAGAGCAAAGAAGAGTTATGCTAACCTTCACCA